GGTAAGGTGAGTAGAGAGAAGGGATATGTAGCTCTTTCCTGATTTCCTCATAAATCTACTTTTTACACATGGAAGTCATGACAGTGACTGTAGTATCCAAATTACCAGACATGTTGGAGGAAGGTAAGGTATTCCATGATTCTGTAGCCTCTTGAGTGGTTTTACTCATCCTGTCCTTGAATAAAACACTGTATTCATATTATCGTGAAGCATGCAGTTATCAAAGGAGTCATAAAAAGCCTTTCCCTTGAAACTCCATTTGATAGCTTTGAAAATACCACCCCACTTATAGGAGAAAACACCAAAGGAAACAGTCTTGGATTGACTTCTTCTAAAAGAGTACGCTAATAAATAAATAAATAAATAAATATATATATATATATATATTTATATATATATATTCAGTCTTTAAAATTATTAGGAAAGCTAAGCATTTCCCACAGCTGTCAAGCACTTGTTAAACATTACTTGTACTTATTCAAAGCAAAGGCTGACCGAACTTTTCCTCTGAATTATTAACCTGTTCTCATAATAGTTGTCAGATGTGAACAAGAGATGACAGGGCCAGTTTTCAGGCCAAAATTCCAGTTGAGCAAACGAGTTGAAAATACACCATGGCAAATACCAAACATAGGAGACCAAAGTATCATCTCAGTCTAGTCAATGGATTTATATCAAGAATTGACTTTGCAATTTGGGGATTTCCTTCAGCAACCCTTTAATATCACTGCTGCGAGCTGATGCTGCAACTTTCTAGAATGTAAAGTGGGGGAGGGACAAACAAACCAACCCCTGCAGAGTTACCTCTTTCCCATTGACAGTGGTGGAGGGAGGGTTTCAGCATGGCTGTATTGCCTTCCATTAAGGAATGTCTTTCAGAAACGTCCTGCATAGGAGTGGCTTTCTGAAGTGGGGGGATGTAGTTCCTATTGGAAGTCTGCAGGAGTAACATCCCTGTGGGATGTGCCAGCCACGTCTTGACATGTGGTGAAGAAAAAATAATTTATGTTTTGTAACATGGACTTTCAGTTTCTCAGGGAGAGGGTAGACTTTCACAGTGTTCTCTAAAGCTCAGGACATACAAAACACCACATGAGGAATATTCCTCAGGGGATGGCTTGGCAGAGTTTTTCTCTTTCTGTGATCCATGTATATTTTTGAATTTCATTTTCTGATACTGTTGTTTTTTGTTTGGTTTTTTTTTTTTTTTTTCCCCAAGAATTACTCAGTGTGGGAGCACACCTACTCCACAGACAATTTCTTCATTTTAAGAGCTTCTCAATGTGAGTGCCCATCCAGTCTGCAGAATATTTCTGGTAGTCAGATTTTATTGTAGTGTGATCTGTTCTTGAGTTTGTCAAATCTTTCCCCAGAGAAGTGAGTTACCCTTACTAAATTACCTTTCAAGTTTTTTTCATTGTAATCTGTGTTTCCACAGATAGCTCAATTTCACTTCCATTTTACTCCCTGTTGATGAGTTTCCTGGACCATGGCCTACAAGAAACCAAGCCTGTGAGCTGTTCTGGAGACCTTTCCTGCATAGTTATGCACATCCTCTTAACATCAGAAGCAAGGGAGTGTAACTGCACAGGAAAGGACGGGCCATAGAGAGCTATTCAGCATCACATCTGCCCTGTACAACTTAGAAATCTGCTGTTCTGGCAGACTCTGGTGCAGCAGAGCTAAGGAATCAGGCAGGAGAGCATCCAGTAGCTCCAGTACAATAACAATTCTCACGGACCCTTTACATAAATGTATAGCAATCAATAGTGATTTTATCAGCCTCTTGGTTTCATGGATCCAGAGCCACTCTGTGTCCCCTCTGCAAGGGCTGTCGCTGTCCATGCACCAGAAGGAGCACTCAGTAGTTATTCAGTGACTGGTCTGCCAGTGTCAGCACTTTTATATTCTCAAGACCTGTCAATGGCAGCTCACCATGGGAAGATACAGTACCTGCATTAAGATGGGAGAATGCTTGTTGTGTTGTCAGGCAGAGCAGACCTCTGGGTCACAACAGTGCTGTCAGCTGTGTCTGTGGGCCACCAAAAATAGAGTCGTCAATGAAAGAAGGCAGCTTAGATGTGTTTCACTGGACTTGTTTCAGAATGAGAACGATTGCATGCTTAACTGTCGATAAGAAAATGGTTCGGACCATGCTCACAAAAAAAGTAAGTGCATTTGAGTGGTACCCAGCTGACTATTCCCATTGCAGGGATGGAAATCAGTCCTATTTGCAGTCTCAGGAGATGGCTTGGCATGGAGCTCACTCGGCAAGCTCTGGAGGAGAATCTTGAATTATTAATATTAATAATAATAATGGTTAAGTCATAAAATTTCTGAGAGATTCCTCTACATAGGTTTTGTGCATTGCTTAAATTCTGGAAAAGGTTAATTATATTCATCAAATTTGTTAGCCATCAAAATTTTACTTTCAATATTATTTTGTTAGGTATTTCAATAGAAATACGGATGAACAGTGTTTGGTTCTATTAACAAACAAAATACTGGCAAAATCCAGTTCATTAGCATGCTTATTCCTTACACCTTACAGACAAGTGGAGCTTCTGTTCGAGCCTGAGGAGTTTGATGAAATGACTTTCTAATCCTACAGCCTATTTCATATTCATGGAGGTGATTTATGAGAAATAAGGGGAGAATCTGCATAGAGCTTTAGGAACAACTCAGATGCCAACTGAAGCTTCTGTGTACTAAGAAACATTTGTGATATCCTGACATTGATCTTGAAACCTACAAATGCTGATGTACATGGGTCCTGGGATTTAATTCTGGCTATTCCAGAGAAAGGAGCCAGACATTAAAAGTTAATCTAGTCAGAGGCTGTTTTTTCCCTACTATTGGCCCTAAGCCTAGGTTGACCTTATTTCAGTACCACTTCAACTAAATATTCTGAGGGCAAAGAGCAGGTTTTTCTTGGTAAATGAGAAGCAGTCTTATCATTATGAAAATGTTTGTGACAGCTCAAAGTACCTGGCACCTTTTCTTAAAGCTTAAATTTGTCATGCTACAGGTAGCTGTGGAGGATGTAACCTGTGAGAAGTAATGTCTCAGGGGAGTGGGGTGCGTAGGTTGTGGGTGTGTTCAGACTCACCTGGAAAGGAGGTCTGGTAAACATGGGAGAAAAGAAGCACTCATGAGTGATATCTAAAGGAGTAACATAACTTCATATGTGAAAGATATCTAAGTAAATATGACATTGTTGGCTGCAAAATCAACACATTATTATTATTTCCTATGACTCCGAAATTCTTTATCACTGCTTTCTGAAGTGCTAAGGCTTGGACAACTGTCCCAAGCCAGAGTTGACCTATAGATGAATCCTGTATATTTTATAACTGATAACCATTGTGCTAATAGGTGTCATACTAAGTGATAACAAACCACCTATTCTGATGCAAAAAGTGTTGAAGTATTGAAGCCTGAGCAACAGCCCCGAGATGAAGTTGCTAACTTAGTATGTAGTCATTAAGGAAATATGTATGCTCATTAATGAAAGATGTAGCTTAGATATCATATACTCATTACTGGTGATGAATGTAATGAAAACATGTCTATCCTGAATGTATCTTTCTACTTCTTTACATAGGGGCAAGTTAACAAGCCTATGGAGCCAGCTGTCCAGCCTTGGGACCAGACACGTGGCCTTGTTCTAAAAAGAACATAAATAAATTAGATAAGAAGGGAAACTCCCCGAGCTTCTCCCTTGAACCCTGGCCAGGCTTTGGGAGAATCTAATGAGACAGTGAAACCAGATGTTCCACTCAAAACAAAGGTGCCAGCTATTCTGGCTTGTCGATCTCTGGTATATAAGGCTGGACCCACTTGCTTTGGACTTTGGCAGCCTCACCTACAGGTGGAGTCACCGTGTAGGATTTCCCCCGTGCCGGGACAGGCTCTGCAAACCCTCGCTGTAACCGGGGCTGCCCAGCCACTGCGGGGCTGGGTGATGGTAATGTATGCAAGTGGTGATGGATCTTTCTTAACCACTGTTCTCTCTCTCAGGTAGTGATGAATTGATGCATTACCCTGTATTTTCCTGTTTGTTTAAGTGCATTATTCTGTTTTTTCTTACTGTATGTTTTCTGTATTATTCTGTAATATTATTTCGTTATTTTGAGTAAAACATGCCTGCTCTTCTCACTCTGGTGTCTGAGTTTAATTGGTAGCCATAATCAGCGAAACACTTTCCACAGTAGTCACTCATCTAGTATGTATGTATTGTCGACATTTTTTTGTTTTAGCCCATCTAAATGATTGTCCACAAAGACTCTGATCTGTGTCTTTTCTTACATTTCCAGTGCTTACCAGTCTCTCCGTAGCAAGTCTGCCAAGCCTTATGTCATCTGCAGATCTTCTTCAGTAACCTTTTAATGTTGTCTTCCAGTAAATATTTAGGATAATGTAGGTTCATGAATTGCTCTGTGGAGGACACTACTGGTATCACAGGGGTTTGCCTGCCTGTATATAGGTCTCTAACACCACTGTAGAGGCTGTAGGGTATCTGAGATGTCTGCATGGCTACTGGCAGTTACAGCACAGGACCTGGTGGACATCTACATCCTTGTAGGATTGTAGTTAGAGCCAGGTGTTGGAAACCCTCCCAAAACAACATGAGAGGAGATCCGCTACAGGACAGAAATCCTGATGGTACACCATGAGACCTATTTGTCTTCATGCAGTTCCTCCACTAATTCTGCATCTCACATCATTCCCCTCAACTCCCCTGTGATTTTGATGAGGCCAAGTGATCCAGATCCATGGTAGAAATTTTTTCGCAGGCAGAAGTTCATCTTCCATTGTCACTGTATGTTATGGGAATAATTTTTTGGCCCTTTCTTTTCTATACCCTTGTGTCAACTTTAAATATAATAGTATGTTTTGCATTTAATATATTAAAATAGTTTGGGTTTTTTTAAAAGTGAGTTTCATTACTGTTTTTTCAATTCCTTTTCTTTTACTGAACTGTCCTTGTTTACCTCATTTCTAGATGACATTCACAATATTAAACATGGAAAGTTTTGTAGACTATGTGATACTGCTGAATATAATGATATGATTCAGGTGCAAATTGAGGCTCAAAATGAAGCACAGTGCTCGCAGCATGTTTAGGTAGTTCTATGTCATTATTCAGCCTGGTTGCACAGCCAAAAGTGTCTAAATGTGACTATAAGTAGAAAAAAGAAAATACATTTAAAGGACAGGCAAAAAAAAAACCCAACCCAGGATTGTACAACCAAGAGTATTCATGTGTGTATCTCTGTCTGTATATGCATACATGCACGCAACAAGCTGTATATTATTATTACCACGGTTTTTTGCTTATGAAACTAAAGCCAATTTTTTTTTTTTTTTTTCACAATGCGTGTTACTTAATTGTATGCTGTAGCTGTTTTTAGTGGCTTGCTAGTTTTTACACCCTCCTGTAGTGGTATTATGTGGCTGATTTCTATCATTGGTGAGTATAGTTTGGATCATTACGTATATCCTCAGGAAGAAATTATGGTTACTGAAGTTAAAAGTAAAACCACACATTGCCATTTCTTCTAATTCTCATGATTTTGCATTGCTTTTTGTAATTAAAAAACTAACTTTTCCATTTGGATATTTCTTCTGCTGAAATTCTTAACGGAATACTGGAAAAGAAGTCCTTACTCAGAAGAACATCTTCTGGCAACATATGTTTTATTCCCAATTTAGAAGCAGCATTATTTCTTTCTGTGGGAAATAATAAAGTTTGGACAGGACCCCTTATTACTTAAATATGTGGAAAAAGAACGTGCAAAAAGAAATAATAAAACTCATATCTAAAGTAAATTTATTTGTCTTGTGGAAAAATCATGAACCTTTGCTACATAGGCTTATTGAACTGCTTGGCAAAATAAGAAAGAACATAGGTGGGAGGGTAATAATTCATTATGCAATACAAAAATGTGATTTATTCTACTAATAAGTTAACAGGCACAATAGATGATATTGGTTCACTATAACTACATGAAAACATTACTATAAGAGGAAATTTAAAAGATCTTCTAATAACTTCCATATGGAAATTATTATCCTATAATTACATTCAGGAGAGGAAATCAAATGCTCTCTCAGATTTTTAAAAGATTACATTTATCATCTGTTGACATGATAACAAGAAGGAAATTTCAGTACTCTAACAGTATACTGGGCATAGGGAGATATTTTTTTTTTTTTCTTTTCTAATTTGATTATATTGTAAAAATTGGGAGAAAGGATG